GTTTAGGTGGCTGGAACCATAACCTTCCCCACATCAACTAAACAAAGTCAAGAAACAGATCCCAAGCTGAGGATAATATGTACCCAGTAAAACTAATACAAGGATGCTATAGGATTTGATCAACTTTTGTTTAAAAGTTTGGTAGGGTGTCTTCCTTTTTTTAATAGTCTGAAAACTTCAGGTTATAATGTTGAGAGATCATTGAATGTAATTATTTTGTGATCTAAAGAGAAAAGCAAGGTTCACCAATTTTAATTAATTCTGCCTCTCAGTTTTCAGAATTGACCTGTTTAGAACAGAAAGAAAACCTTTTAAATACTACTTTGTATTAAAATAAATCTAGGACAAATTGAAATTCCTATAACATAAGACATTTTACAAACTCAAAAGAGAATATAAACATTTTTTAACTAGTAAAGTCTTACATTAATTACAGAGTAACCTAATATTTTTGCTAATAATATTCTAAAAGTCCCAGTAGGTGACATTCTGCCTTTTACCCAGGGGTGACTACATTTTATTATCTTTTGAGTCAAACTGACATTTATTATCATTTTAAAATTATTTTTATTATCATTTCAGCAGTATGCTAAGATTTTGGTTGCTACTTTAAAAATTCAAATGTTAGCAGCATGGTTGGTTAACTAAGCTAGACCTTCCGAATAGTAATAGTGGTAATAGTAATTATTGAGTATTTACAGCATGCCTGACACTGTACTAATCACTCTACATGTGTTATCACTCATCTTATGAAGCCCTACTGTGGCACTGTAGGATAAAGCACTGGACTGCAAGGTTGACTTGAACTGCAAGGGTTGGCAGTTCAAATCCACCAGCTGTTTCTTGGAATATAAGGTTTCTGTGAATCATATCCCTACAAAACATGTGTTAAATTTTTGGTCTTCATACTTGTGGATGTGATCCTGTTTAGAAAAACTGTCTGTCTTTTGTTATGTTAATGAGGTATTCTCAGTGTAGGATGGATAATTTCTGAGCTATAAAAAGTTCAAGTAGCTACAAAGAGACAGAAAGGAAGACAGATACCATGTAAGGATTGTCTACAAATCAAGGAATACCAAGAAACCAAGGAAAGCCTAGGGCTATCAATAAGGGAAAAATCAAAACAGTCAAATGTCTGATTTGAACTTCTAGCCTTCAGAACTATGAGAAAATAAATGTTCTTTAAATCCACCCGTTTGTGGTTGTTGTGTTACAACCATACTAGGAAACTAAGACATTCTATATATACCATTATTTTTTTTTTACAGACAAGGCTAATACAGCTCATAGATGTTAAGGGACTTGCCCTCATTTTCAGTTATGTTCAATTTTAAAAGCTTATTTCTCTTCTACTGTACCACAGTGCTTCTTTTAGAAGTGTTATATGACTCCAGCTTGAAGTTATTTGTATACATTCTCTCTCTCTCTCTCTCTATATATATATATATATATAGAGAGAGAGAGAGAGAGAGAGAGAGAGAGAGAGAGAGAGAGAGAGAGAGAGAGAGAGAGAGAGAGAGAGGCCTGGTGTGGTGCTGTGGGTTAATGCACTAGACAGCAAAGCCTTTTGAACTGCAAGGTCGGTGGTTCAAGCTCACCAGCTGCTCCTCGGAAACCCTATACAGGGTCTCTATGGGTCAGAATCGACTTGATGGCACTTAACAACAACAACTATATATATCTTAATGATTTGCCTTCATCATCTGCCATCAAGTCAATTCTAACTCATAGTGACCCTATGTATTATTTCAAAGACTAAATTTTTACAGGAACAGACAGCCTCATCAGACTGGTGGGTTTGAACCACCAATCTTGAGGTTAGAAGCCCAATGTCTAACCCTTAACCACCAGACTTCTTAACTTAATGATTAGGTTTGAGTTAATTATTTGAGTAAATGTTTTGAGTTTAACTTCAACATTGATAAGTACCATGGAGTCAGTTCCGACTCATAGCGACCCTACACAGGGTTTACAGGAGCAGAAAGCCTCATCTTTCTCCTGCAGAGCAGCTGGTAGTTTCAAACTGCTGACCTTGTGGTTCGCAGCCCAATTCGGAACCACTATGCTACCAGAGCTCCTTTAATGAGACTACATAGATCCAGATTTATTAGGAATGGTGAGGGAAGGACGATAAACCAAAGGCAAGAAATCATCACATAAAAAAATTCTAAGAATAAAATAAAATCAGGGGACAGTAATAATAGGAATAAAAAGGTGTCCTGGTGGCACAGTGGTTGAGAGTTTACTTGCTAATCAAAAAATTGTCAGTCCAAACCCATCGACTGCTCCTCAGGAGAAAATGCCTACTGACCTGCTCCCATGAAGATGAATAGCATAGGAAACCCTATGAAGTAGGTCTACTCAGGCCTATAGTCACTGTGAGTCAGAATCCACTTGACAACACCCAACAGCAACAGTGATGGGAATGTGAGAGCTATTTCAGACAGATTAACCAGGAGACTTCTCTAATAAAGGAACATCTGAGACAGGACCTGAATGAAATGGAAGAGAAAATGCAAAAGCTCTGAAGTACTCAATATTCCATAAACACTGCTAAGAAAAACACGGCTGGAGGAAGGGAGTAGCAGACGAAATCATAAAGGTATGAAGATAGCCAGTGATAAGACTTATAGACCACAGTGAGCCATTTACAATGATCCTTTCTGGAGCTAGAAATGGCTCCATAAGACGTGTGTCAGAAATGGATGTAGCAACAGAAATCATTGTGACCTTTTGACAGGCCACAGAATATTCAAAAAGCTTCTCCAGGGCTTAATTTATAATCTAGTTCCATTCTAATGCTATTTGAGAATCTAATTGATCTGACTAGAGGATTTGGAGCAATTCCTCAAGGAATTCTGTATCCCTTTTTTCCTTGGTAAATCTCAATGCTATGCATTTACAAACTTTGGGCCATTAAGCATTTATTGTAGACACAGTAGCCTATATTTTAGGATGGCATCTTATGTGGGACATGTAGTACTGATATGAAATAATAAATTAAAATATGAAGGTAAAGTGCACTATTTGTTGTTGTTGTTAAGTGCCATTGAGTCAATTCCAACTCCTGATGACCTTGTGTAGGGTTTCTTAGGAGTGGCTGGTGATGTTGAACCACCAATCTTGCAGTTCAAACCAACCTTGCAGTCCAGCTCATTAATCCACAGTGTCAAACAAGGGATGTATAATTATAAATGTCAAAAACAAAGAAAATCTAGCTCATTCATTATAAAGACCAAGGATGGTTTATAGAATCCAAGGGCAGGAAGGCAATCGGTTTTTCTTGTTTTTAGCTGCTGTCAATTTCAGCCCTTGACTGTTGTCTCACCCATTCACAATGGAACTAAACGCTGCTCAGTCCTGCACCACCCTCAAGATCAAAGGTAAATTGGACTGCTGTGGTCCATGGGAATTTTTTATTGACTCAATTTAAGAAATTTGTTGTAAATCCTTTCTTCCTTGTTTGTCTCAGTCTGGAGACACTTGTTCAGCATCATCGCAATTCACAAGCCACTGCTGACAAATGAGTGGTGGCTAAGCATGAGATTCATTGGCTGGGAATCAAATCTGAGTGTCCTGTATGGATGGATTCTGCCACTGAACTACCGCTACCTCCAGTCAGGCCTTAGAAAGCCCTTACTAAGAACTAGAAAATTGTCATAACTCTGTCTCTCAGTGGTTAGTTTGAACCACAAGGTCAGTGGTTCAAACTCACCAGCTGCTCCTTGGAAACCCTATACAGGGACTCTGTGAGTCAGAACTGACTTGATGACACTTAACAAAAGAAAATTATATGAAGGATTTTTATTTTGAGTTGTGTTTTGAATGACAAAATTTCTCCAGCATGCCAACACAGTATAATGGGAAAGAAAAACCGACTTTATTCAGAAGATTGGATTTAGGTCTCAATGTTATCATTTAAAGGTCATGTGACTGTGAACAGTTCACTCTGATACTGCTAAATGAATCAATTGTGTTAGATGTTCTTGAAGGTAGTGTCCAGATTGACCTACATGAACTTTAAAGTAGCTTCTTTTAAGTCTAATGTAATATTTGTTTGGTGACAAACAATTGTTCAGAGATTTATCAGGTTAATTGAAGACATACAATCCTTAAGAGATGGTCTTTAGAAATCTACAAAGGTCTTAGCCCTCCCAGTAATTATTAGTTTGACTAGATGTCTTTAGTAAGTTTCGTAACTCCCCTAGGCCCAAATTTGTTCATCTATAAAATAGTGGTTATTTTCAATGGGTTATTGTTACCAATGAATAAGATAATGCATGCAAAGTCCCTGGCTCACTTTTGGTTTTTAATCACTACTAACCACAAGGTCAATGGTTCAAACTCACAAGCTGCTTCTTGGAATCCCTAAACGGGGTCCCTCTGAGCCAGAACCAACTTGATGGTACTTAACAACAACAATAAATTGTTGCTCTGATACTGTAGGATCAGCATTGGATTGTGAGCCACAAGGTTGGTAGTTCAAACTGACGAGCTGCTTCTCTGAAACCCTACACAGGATTGCTATGAGTTAGAAACAACTCATTGGCACTCAACAACGATAACTTTGTTGTCCTGGTGTGTTGCCTGTAAGATAAGCTATGGACTGAAAGGTTGGTTTGAACTGCCAGCTCTCTGATTCAAACTCACCAGTTACTCCCTGGAAATCCTATAAGGGTAGCTGTGAGTCAGAACCCATTCGATGACACTTAACAAAAACAACATTGTTGTCAGACTTTGAAAATCCCTAAACTCCTCTCTACCATACTTTATCCCTTTGTATAAATGTGCAAGTAAGTGACAATTAAATTCCAATAGACTTTCTTTTCCAAATACTCTGATAACATGATCTAATGAAAATAAAATGAGATTAGAGATCTTGAGATTCTAGAGAAGTATCTTACATAAATAACATCTCCATGTCATTCACAAACTCAGTGTATCCTTAATAATATGCATGGCCTCTGTAAAACATGACTTTCCCATACTTTCCTGGGCAGATGTGAAAGCATGGAGCTGGACAATAAAATCCGGGATCTGATTGAGAGGAACGCTTCTCAGGATCCACAAGGATTCACCCCAGAGACTGTGCCACATCACGGCAACCCATGTTATCTAAAGGTAAGAAAACACCTTCTTTCTCATTTTTCTCAGTATATATTTGAAGCACCTGTTTCACTAAGAACAATTTATGGGAACAGTCCTCAAATCATTTACAGGCAGCCACTACTTCCTTGATGGCTGAGAGGATAAAGTGAACCAGTAAAAAACTTCACTTGCCCAGTCATTTCCTGTTACTGAAGCCACTCATCAGCAAAAGACACTTTCCAGTTTTAAATGTGATTAAACCAGGCGGCAGCAGCCACTACAGGGAAATCAGAAGGAGAACATGCTGTTAGATAGAATGTTCAGTATAGTGATGATTTTGGGGTGGGGTGGGGACTGAAAGTTTAAAACCCATATAAATTGGATTACAAGTGATGTTCATGTGTTAAGGAAAAAACAAGGCTTTACTGATTAAAGGAGCTATTTGACTTTAAATTTCCTCTGTTTCAGGATATTTGTTTATGGAGCTTTGTGTCAGTAAATAAAATCTAAGGATAAGTTCCAGATAGGAATTTCTGGATGACTTTCTAGAAATATACCATTATAAGGGACAACATAAGCTCTTAAACTAGGTATCTCTTTTGATTAGAAATGGTCTTTAACAATCATAATTAAAAAAAAACAAAAAACCACAAAATAGAAGAACATTGGAGATCATGGTTAACATAAAATACTGAATAACTTCTATGACTTTGGTTCTTATTTGTAAAATGATTCACATTTATTGTAGAAAATTTATGTGTATACTAAGCACAGAAGTTGGAATCCTGGTGTTGCACTGTGGGTTAATGCAGCAGACTACAAAACCGTTTGAACTGCAGGGTAGGCGGTTCAAGCTCACCAGCTGCTCCTTAGAAACCCTATACAGGGTCACTATGGGTTGGAACTGACTCAACCGCACTTCACAAAGAATACTATGAAAATCATGTCCAGACAGATTTACTGTGGCGCTAATGAAGCTTGGCCTTCCCCCTAAACAGATACTTGTGCATGTATCTAAATTATATCCATAAATTTGTGTCTTTTTTTCTTAATGGAGAGCCCTGTAAGCCAGTAAGCATAGATCTGCCGCTGAAATCACCTCTGGGCCCACCACTTATAGAAAACAATTCATAACTTGCAGGAGTCTTGGTGCTTCTTTTCCCTTTTCCTTTCTTTCTTTTTCTTCCTTCTGTCTTCCTTCCCGCCGTCTCCCTCTTCTCTCTCTGTGTCTCTCACATGTTTTGTAGCCTACTTTTTTTCATTTAATAATATGTCTTAGATACTCTTTTGCTCTTTCATTTTGTAAACAAATAATATTGTGTGCATTCTGCACATAGGCACATTTCCCTATTTACAAACCCACTGCTTCGCAAAACCAGACCAGATGCTGTCTCAGGGCCACCCCATATGTATCAGAGTTGAATTGTGACCCATGGGGTTTTCAATTGCTAATTTTTCAGAAATAAATTGCCAATCTTTTCTTCAGAAGCACCTGTAGGTAGACTTGAACCTCTAACCTGTTAATTGCAGCATTCAGGGACTCCTTCTTCAGGAAAAGACGGCCTTTTTCTTCAAGGTTATGAATGAATGTGAATAAATATTGCACTTCTACTTCTAACCCTCATACATACATCTCCTCATATACCTCTAACTCCCCACTAGAACTTTATTCCTTTATAGAAATATATGCTTTTCTCTAGTGTCCTTGTCTAACCCCTGAAAAAGATACAATGATGAGAATCTTAATCTCCTCTAGTATCTAATATCATCTTGTCTAGTTATCTTCTCCTAAAACCCATTTGTTTGAGACTGACCCCCTCCCAGTTAGTTCATTCTGTCTTTTGGATTCTTCCTTACATGGTAAAAGCTTCTTCTACTCTCTTTCCCCACCCCCCATTGCCATCCTTGTGGTAATAAGTTCCTTCTATTTTGAGATGTAACTGAAACTTGTGTCTCTGTCTGACACTGCTTCCTCTATCACTTCCTTGACGGAATTTTCTCATATTCTATGCTCCACACGTTCAGGCAATGGGTAGCATATGTCTTTTATTTTCCTTGTGAAGTATTAGGTAAAGACATTCACAGAAATTAGGAGGGTAAAGTGAAGTCCAGAGGTTTAAGAAAATTGAGGAAAATAAGAAATGGCCATTCGGGGACAAGGAGATTAAAGAGAGTAGCAAAACTAAAATGAATTGCTGAGCATTCTTTGATAGTTACCAGGAAGAGAAGGAAGAGGAGAATCACTTACTAGATAGTTGTTGTTGCTGTTTAGTGTCATCAAGTTGGTTCCGACTCATAATGACCCTGTGTAGGGTTTCTGAGGAGTGACTGGTGGATTTGAACTGCCAGTCTTGCAGTTCAAACCAGCCTCATGGTCCAGTGCTCATCCTATACCGCCATACCAGTACTAGATAGTGGATATCTGTTAATTCTGTTAATAAGAAAGGCAATATACAACGTGACACAGGCACAACTTGACCCAGGTAAATGAAGACACTGAGAGGTACATAAGAATAAAGTAAAACTATGGTGAATACTTGGAGTGGAATGGCTTTGTAGAATAAGCACGAAACTGTGAACCACAAGATCAGTGGTTTCACCACACCAGCTGCTCAGTGGGAGAAAGATGAGGCTCTTATCTCCCATAAAGATTTACAGCCTGGGAAACCCTTCACAGGGTTATCATGAATCAGAATCAATTCAATGGCATGGGCCGCTAGCCACAAGGTCAGTAGTTCAAATACCCCAGCTGCTACACAGGATTACTATGAGTCAGAATTGACTCGATGGCAGTGATACTGTAAATGCTATACTATATATGACAGCACTTTTTTTGCAACAGTAATAACAAGCAAAAAATATATGAATAGTTACATGGGTTTACATATTGTAAGGGTGTGAGAAAACATATAGGAGTACCTGCACATGTATAAATAGATTTGTGTGATTACGTTTGTGTGTGCTGCATATATATTTATATATACACCAGAGCACATTGGGCACGCAGTTATGAATACTTCCTAGACATATCCAAACATCTCATGGGATTGGTTCACTGGATTTAAAGACTCAAGAACATCATCTCCTGGAACAACTAGGTCAATTAGCATATTTTAGTCCATAAAAATAATGTTCTACATTCTAGTTTGGTGAGTAGTGCTTGGGGTCCTAAAAGTTTGTGAGAGCCACCTAAGGTAAAACTACTCGTCTTTTCCCATCTGGACCAAATGATAATGAAGGAAACCAAAGACTCAAGAAACTAATCCATAGGAGAAATGATCACATGAAACATAGCCTCTTCTAGCCTGAGACCAGAAAAACTCGATGGTTCCTGGCTACCACTACCAACTATACTAACCTGGGACACAAGAGAAGATCCCAGTGAGAATGGGAGAAAAAATGTAGAACAAAACTTAAACTCATTAAATTTTTTTTTTTTTTAAACACCAGATTTATGCAACTGACAGAGACCAGAGAAACCTCTAAAACTATTGTCTTAAGATGCTCTTTAAACCTGGAACTGAAGTCAATCCTGGAGGTCACCTTTCAGCCAAATAATAGATTGGCCTATAAATTAAACAATAGCACATTTGAGAGATGTGCTTCTATAAATAATCAGGTATATGAGACCAAATAGTCAACATTTATCCAAAAGCAAGGGAAAAAAGGCAAACAGGGCCAAGGAATGGATGGATGGATGGAAATGGGACAGGCAGGGTGGAGACAGTTAAAGTACGGGCAGACTATGAGGACAGTAACCATTGTCACAGAGTCCTGCTGTGGTGCTGTAGGATAAGCACTGGACTGAAAGGTTGGTTTGAACCATGGGATCGACAGGTCAAACTTACCAGCCTCTCCTTGGAAATTCTATACAGGGTTGCTATGAGTCAGAAATGACTTGACTCGTTGGCACTTACCAACAACCTTTGTCACAGAACAATTTCTGTATGAATTGTTAAATAGGAATCTAATTTGTTGTGTAAAATGTCACCTATAACTCAATAAAATGTTTTAAAAAGGAGAAGAAAATAGCAATTATTGTGGTATTTGACTCAAAATTATCTTGTGTTGTTTGTTGTTACTGTGCCATGGAGTCAGTTCTGACTCATAGCAACCCTGTGTAGGTTTTTGGGTTTGAACCACCAACTTTGTGCCACAGCCAAAGATCCACAGTGCCACATCGGAGATCCATTATCTGTTGCTGTTGTTGTTATGTGCCATGGAGTCGGTTCCGACTCATAGTTACCCTGCACAGGGTTTCTGAGACTGTAAATCTTTATGGGAGTAGAAAGCCTCATCTTTCTCCCACGGAACGGCTGGTAGTTTCGAACAGCCGAACTTGAGGTTAGCAGCCTAATTCATAACCACTATGCTACCAGAGCTCCTTATTACCAGTTATTACCCTAAAATTAAAATAAAATGAGTTGCTGAGTAACTGTTCGGACCAAGATGAATTTGAAAATCCACACTCCATAACACCTGTGTTTGGATTCCTCTGTCTACACTATGCCAATCATCTTGACAGCTTAATGCACACTTTGTTCTCTTCCACTTTTACTTAACATATGTATCGAAACTAAGACCTCATAGTATTTTATGTGTACTGTTCTAACTCATACTTCCTAGCTAAGGTTATAGGACACATTTCTAAGACCTTCTTTCCCATTCCCTATCACACCATTGTTGTTGTTATGTGCCGTGGAGTCGGTTCCGACTCATTGTTGTTGTTGTTGTCAGATGCCATTGAGTCGGAACCGACTCATAGCGACCCCATGCATAGCAGTATGAAACAATGTCCGATCCTGGGTCAACCTCACTACTGCTTCCACACTTGAGTCCATCAATGATGCCACCTGGCTGATCCATCTCGTTGGGGGTCTTCCTCTTTTTGTCTGACCCTCCACCTTACCCAGCATAACATCCTTCTGCAGAGACTGTTCCCTCCTGACAATATGTCCAAAGTATGAGAGACGAAGTTTAGCCATCTTGGCCTCCAAGGAGCACTCTGGCTGCACTTCTTCCAAAACAGATCT